CTTTAACATTTTTTTATTAATTGTGGGTACAAATAGCACAAAGCAAACTATAAATAATACCAAACATAAAAGTACCCATCTTACAACAATTTCTAAAATGGCTTTGGTCTATTATTCAATACATAGCTTCCTCCACACTGTGGTGTATCATCTCACAGAACTTTTTATCTGCAAACTGAAATCTAATCGCTGCATTAAAGCAAGCTCTTCCATTTCCTCTCCTCTGTAAATGGCGCCCTGGCAAAGACACTGTTCTAACTTCTGTCTTATGAGTTTACTAAACTCTAATCTTTTCTCATACAGAGGAATCATAATAGTCATTATGTTCTTCTGTGAACGTTTACCTTACTCATGATGTTTTTCAATATCCTCAAATGTTAATGACCATTTTGTAAGCATGTTTGTCGAATTCCTCTCCTTCGTCTATATATCTGTTTCTATGCCAGTAACATGCTGGTTTGATTACTATACATTTGTTATAAGTTTTGAAATCAGAAAGTGTAAAATCTTCAACTATATTATTCTTTCTCAAGATTGTTTTAACTGTTCAGGGCCTCTTGAAATGTCACATAGATTTTAGCATGGGATTCCCTATTTCTGCAAAAAAACCGTGCCACTGGAATTCTGATAAGGATTGTATTAAATTTTTAGATCACTTTGAGGAGTATTGACATTTTAACAATATCAAATCTTTAAGTCCATGAGTATGGGAAATCTTTCAATTCATTCACATTCTCTTTAATTTCTTACAGTAATGTTTTGTATCTTTCAGTGTAGAAGTCTTTAGCCCCCCAAGTTTATTCCTAGGTAGCTTATTATGTATAAGCTATTGTAAATGAAATAGTTGAGAAATATCTTTTTGATTTTTTATTTAGATTTTGATCAAAATTTCTATTTCTAGGTTTTCTATTTGTATCAAATTTAGTATTAGATTTGTTTTCCTTAATTTCCTTTCAGTATTTATAGGTAATTTTCCTTACAGTGATTATCTTGCTACACAATAATCTTGATTTTTAAAATTCTGGTATTAATTTATTTTACCTTTGACTTCTTGCTTTCTTCTTTCCTGTTAACACCAATTCTCCACAAGTTACCCCATGCTAGCAAGGTGCCTTCTGCCACTCATTTTCCAAGCCCTTTCTTTCAATTCCTTACGAGCCAGGGTTCTAATTTCCTCAATCTAAGGTTCTCATCTGGGTGGTACTCTCACCCTTTGTTATTCTACTCTTTCTACCACAGTCCCTCCATCTGTGAAATCCCCACTTGACTCTGCTGAGGGCGGACTCTAGAGATGCTTTTAGTGTTTTCCCCACTTAAATGAAGTTGCTAATGCTCTCTTTCTCTGGTTTTGTCATAGCTTGTGCTCTGGATGATGTGTTTTTGTTCTTTGTTAAACTGTGTGGTTTTCAGAGGTGTGTGGAGAGATTTGAATTTAGCTGAATACCATTATCCTATGGGAAATTGGAAGCTGTGTGGCTGGTGTTAATGAAACGGTTCCTATAAACTTTATAAAATTTATCAGGAAATAAGGTGGGTGGGAGGGTGGGAAGAAACAAAAATAAGCCAAACTTTCAGCACATCAGCATTCATCATGAGATCAACTGCTCTCTGACCCCTTCCTCATAGCCGTTTGGTGCCTATTGTCCTAAAATCACATAGACCCATGAAGATTATAGTTCTCCTTAACTGCTATGTAGGTAACAACCTGAGAATTGTGAAATGTTAAGTTTTCCATTTGAGACATCCTTTTTGGTCCTGCACACCATTAAGGTCTGAAAGACCTGATGAGGAGCTGACTCACCAAGGAATGCGGTTTCCACATCCAAATAATATCCCCCTTATTCCGGCCAATCAACAACCCCAGTTTTCTAGCCTCTTTCCCCCCACTATCCCATTAAAAACCCCAGCCCAGAACTCACTGGGGAGAAGAATTTGAGGGTCCTTTCTGTCTCTTCATTTGGCTACCCCTTGATAATTAAACTCTTTCTCTGCTGCAAACTCTGCCATCTCAGTATATTGGTCTGTTACTCTTCAGTGAGCATACAAACCTGTTGGTCCTACAACATGAATACAGGTAGTAACATATCTGGAACTCATACTTTACTGAGTTAATCAATTTGTGCAGATCTGACTGCAGAAGTTCTATTCTCTTCTCTCCCCCCTACTTTGTGCTTATTTTTCCTGAACCATTTTCTACAATATAACAGTCTAAAGTGAATCTGTATATCTGAGATAAAATATTATGGGAAATCTTTAGTTTTTGGTTTTGAAACTCCTTCATGAAATATTTTATGATTTCATTTTATCTTTATGAAACAGTCCCTCATTATTTAAAATTGACGATAATAATAAAAACCAAGTATAGTGCTTGTATGCCTCTCAGTAGAAGTCAACTTCTTTGTACCTCAAGACATGACACCTTTGAAGTCACGTGGCTCTCAACATTCTAATAGTTTAAGGGCCTTTACCAGGAGGTATTTCTGAATCCAGTGGGGTACATTTACAGAATACTTTCACTGGTTCTGTACCTAGTAACAGTGGTTTTCACCCTTGCTGCATATTATTATTTCCTGCGGAGCTATGAAGAATCTCAATGTTTAGTCTGTACCCTGGACCCATCATTAAATCAGAATTTGTGGAGGCAGGGACCCAGACATCACTATGAGGCTTGGGTAGAACTCAAAATGAGGCCTTACAAATACTACTGACTCATGTACCTACACTATGATTTGCATACATCCACACTTGAGAACCACTAGTGAGTTTTGCGACTTCTCAATGCTTCCTATAAACGTTTGAAAAAACATGGTTCTAAAATATTGTATTTCTTGAATTCTAACATGTAGCTGTATTTTTGAGATTTGGAGTAAAAGCAAAATATTCCGTAGTATCAATTAATGCTGTGGAAAAACAATATCTAGTTAGACGTAAACCCACACTAGTCACTGCTACTTTTAGAAACTGACTGGAGTCCTAAACTGGGGGAAAAGAAACTGGTTTGGAACTTTCAAAGCTTCACTAAACAAATCATAGAAAATCAGTCCCTTCTTTATTTTTAGGCAGAATTGTGATTTTGATGGCCTTTAAGGCAGGACTGCAGATGAGCTGCAATTGAATTATCTAGAAAATATCCTGAGAGAGTCCGATTGAGTAGGTTTGTGAGTGGACTTTAGAATTGGTGTGTTTAATAAACCACCAGGTGATTCTGATGCACCGATAATATGCAAGAGCACATTCCAAAGACACTTGATAGAAGGTTTCAAGAATTCTAGTAGTCTCAAACCTTGAGAGGCACAAGTAGAAATGATCCAGGGCTTTATTTTCATGACATTAACAAAGAGTGTGGGGAAGAAATCACCTTACCAACCTATGGTTGAAGAAAAATGATGGAGAAAGTGCTCATATGTCACATAAATTGTTTTCTTTAAACCGTTTGGTAAGATTAGTTGTATCACCGTATTTATAAATCCATTTACAGCATTCTTTCCTGCAGATTTTCAACAGCAGCCACAGGAGGATCAAAATTCATCTTATGCATCTCTAAGATGCTTTTATTCCCTTAAAATGAATCTCATGGTGGTATTTGCTAGCTTTATAACTACCAGTTGAATATATTCAGTGTCATAAAATAAATTTAAAAAAATTATTTATAGTCAAACATATTTTTCTTAGAGAAGTTGTTACTCAATATATATGACTCCATTAGTCAGAATTTCTCCACAAATACTCTATGTTCCTTAATGTTTTGAACCAAGGATCCACTTGAGAATTTGATGAGAGAGGTTTAGAACTCTTACCAATTGAACACATTTAAATGAAATAACAATTTCTATATATTGTTAGGGAATCTATGGACATCCCACAAAGCTCCTAAGGTCCACAGCTTATAGTTTAAAAAGTTTGTATCTAAGACATGTAGTATCTCTACTAATTTATAGTTTAATGAGATTCTATATATTTTCCAGGTACCTATACAAGAATGAAATCCATGTACTAGATAAGCAAACATTTAAAGGACTCATATCTTTGGAACATCTGTAAGTAATAGAAGCTTTTTTATTAAATCACTCATGGTGACGGTTCAGAGAGACAGCTTTTTAAATGCCATTATGTGATAGCTGAACAATTATTTTAAACTTTGCCATGTGGCTTGAATGACTGAATATCTGTCATCAGTTGGATAAAAATCAGAATGTATGACTGTGTTGGCATAAGGATAGAAGACAGATAGAACTCAGCTGGAATTCCAGCACTGCATTTATTACTTGTGTGACATTGGGCAACTTACCCTCTATGAACCTTTGTTTCCAAATCCTGAAATGCACATATTTCTGCAGTGCATATTAAGGTATTGCATGCAAAGAGCAATAATGTTTATTAAGCAAAAATGTTTATTACTTGACATAAAATAGGCTTTTTATAGAAGGTAATTTATAGCTGTGACTATAATTTATGAAAGAAGGTCAAGCTTTTAACTGACATTAGAACTTCTAAAACATGGGATTATACCTCTCATTTTACAGATAATAAAATTAAATTCAATGTTAGTTAAATGATTTGCCCCAAATTAAGGGTCTGTATTATTATTATTATCATTATTATTATTTTTGAGGCAGAGTCTCTCTCTGTTGCCCAGACTGGAGTGCAGTTGTCCCATCACAGCTCATCCGCCTCCCGGGTTCAAGTGATTCTTGTGCCTCAGTCTCCCAAGTAGCTGGGATAACAGGTATGCCCCACCATGCCCGGCTAATTTCTATATTTTTAGTACAGACAGGGTTTCACCACATTGGCCAGGCTGGTCTCGAACTTTTGGCCTCAAGAGATCTGCCCACCTTGGACACCCAAAGTGCTGAGATTATAGGCATCAGCTTCCATGTCCAGCCCTGTAGCATTATTATTACAACTCAAACTGACTGCTATCTTAGTGTACTTCTTAGCATTTGATACTTTATGAAAACCTCAGATTCACCATCATAATTTCAGTGTGAAATATGAATCCTTCAATATCAAAAAGTCATATTGTATACTAATACTGCTACTAAACTGCAATTTGATGTTTTATTCAGAGATTTCTCTCAATTACAAGTGTTTGAAACACAAATACTAATTAGATAATTAAGAAGATTTTTCCATTTTTCACAACCTGTGGGATAGTTCTGAAACTTAGATATGTAGAATGCAGTCTGGTTTTTAAGTATTGGCAGGATTTCTGTATATCAGAAGTTTTTGCTCCTCAAATTTGTTTCCATATTCAATGTGGTTTCTTAATTTCAAAACATGATTTTAAATTATTTCTGTAATAAATATGGTTAGAAGAAATCTAAATTTCTTTTTCATAGAAGGCTGAAGGTTATAGTATTAAAACACAGTCAACCAATCAAAAAAAGTTTTTTAATTGCCTTTGCTCTACTTTTGCCTCTTATTAATTTCCTTTTACATGACTGCTATGGTTTGAAACTCATGTTGAAATTTAATTGCCATTGTATCAGCATTAAGAAGTGGGAACTTTAAGGATTGATTAGACCATGAAAGGTAATGAGTAGATTAATGTTGTCATCATGGAAGTGAGTTTCTTATTGTGGGAGCAAGCTCTTTATCATGGCGGTGGGTTCCTTATAAAAGGACAAACTAGGATCCTTCTTTCTCTCTCTCTCTTGCCTTCTCTTGCCCTTTTGCCACGGGATTATACTGCAGGAAGGCCCTTAAAGGATGCTGGCCCTTCAATCTTGGAATTTCCAGCCTCTGGAATTGTAAGCCAATGAATTTCTGATCATTATGAATTACTCCATCTGTGGTACTCTGTTATAGCTGCACAAAATGACTCAGAAAGAGAATTGTTACCAAAGAGTAGAGTGTTACTGTGACAAACACCTGAATATTTGGAAATGACTTTGGAACTGGATAATGGGTAGAAGATGGAAGAATCTGGAGAAGCAGGATAGAAAAAGCTTGTATTGCCATGAATAGATCATTAAGGGCAATTCTGGTGAGGGCTCAAAACAAAAGGAGAGCTGTAGGGAAAGTCTAAAACTTCTTAGAGGTTGCTTAAGTAACTATGGTCAGAATGCTGGTATAAATACGGACAGTAAGGCAATTCTGATGGGGTCTTGGGCAGAAATGAGGAACAAGGTAATGGAAACTGGAATAAAGGCCATTATTTTCTAACGTGGAAAATAACTTGGCTGAATTGTGTCCATACCAGAGGGCTTTATGTAAGGCTGAATTTAAGAGAATGAATTGGGACATCTGCTGGAATAAATTTCTAAGCAAAATGTTGAAGGAGCTGCATGGCTTCTATTAAATGGCTAGAGTAAAATATGGGAAGAGATGAATGATTTAAAGATGACATTTTTAATTAAAACGGAAGTGGAACATAAAAATTTAGAAAATTCACAGCCTGGCCAAGTAAAGAACAAAAAAAGTGCAAGGGTGCAGCCAATTGATCCTTTGATAAAGGGATTAGAGTAGATAAAAGAAGCCAGGTGCCATTCATCAAGACAATGGGAGAATGACACGCAATTCGTTTCAGAGATCTTTGAGGCAGCCTCAAGAGAGCAGCTCATCATGCCTGAAAAAAATCAGCATTCACTACCCTCCACCACCTTAAGTCTCTGCCCCCCAAATTCCTAAACAGTACTCCTTGGTCACCTCAGCTGTCACTCAAGTGGGCTCAGGTGTGGATTATGCCCTAATTTGAAGAATGTAGGTGGTAAGCCTTGGCAGCAGATTTATGTTTTAGTATGTATTTGTAAACCTCATACGATAAGTCTTTAAACTTATTGGTAAAGAACATCTTTAAAAAACATTTTATATGCTTGTTTACAGAATTCACAGAATGGTAAACAGTTCAATTCACTGTAATAAGTCAGCTCACAATACATCTTCGAAGTAACATACTTTGATTCATCTTTTAAATGTGGATATATAAACGCCTCACATTATGGCTTAGAACACAAGAGCAAGGGACATCTTTAAAAAGCATGCCTTAAACATGTGATTAAAAGGTTCACAGTGTTAAACAGTTTAATTTATTTTAATAAAGTGCTTCACAATGCATCTTTGAAATAACATGCCCAGATTTATATTTTCTGTGTGTGTGTGTGTGTGTGTGTGTGTATATATATATATATATAATCTCTCACAATAAGGCAATAAACTAAATGGTAAGGAACATCTTTTAAATGCATATTTGTACATTTGTTTACAGAGTTCATTGTTTGGGAAGTAGTTCAATTCACTGTAATAAAGCAGCTTACAATGCATCTTTGAAGTAATACACTCATTTCATGTTTTCAGTGCGCATATATAAACTTCTCACAGCAAGGCATTAAACTAAATGATGAAGAACATCTTTAAAAAGCATATTTTATACATTTGCTTACAGAGTCTGCAGTTTGGTATTAATTCTGCACATGCACAGAATGAGTGGGCTACGGGGTCAAAAATGGTCTCCACCTAGATTTCAAAGGATGTCTTGGACAGCCTGGGGCCCCAGGCAATGCCTTTTCACAGGAGCAGAGCCATTGCAGACAGCCCCTGAGGGCAATGCCTAGTGGAGTAAAGGGAGTGGGACTGCCACCAAGATCCCAGAACTATTGAGCTGCCAATGTGCAATGTCAGCCTGGGAGAGCTGCAGGCAAAAGACTTCAACCCATGAGAGCTTTGGTTGTGTTGAGCCATAGGGCTTGGGCTGCTTGAAGCCTTGGGGGCCCAACCCCTACCCCACCTAGTCCAGGAGGCAGGACACGGAGTCAAGGAAGATAATTCTAGAGCCTTAGGATTTAATGTTGTTTACCCTGTTGGATTGTGGACTTATTTGGGACCAGTTGCTCCTTTTTTCTTGCCTGTTTTTCCCTTTTGTAATAGGAATGTCTATTCTATGCATGTCCCACGTTGCATTTTGGAAGCATGTAACTGGTTTTGATTTCACAGGCTCACAGTTGTAGGGAAATTTGCCTCAGGATGAATCATGCCTTGAGTCTTACCCATACCTGACTTATTTAAATTTTTGTCTATGTTTTATTATGATTACTACTATTATTTCAATAGTTTTGGGAGGGACACATGGTGTTTGGTTACATGAGTAAGTTCTTTAATGGTGATTTTTGAGATTTTGGTGCACCCAACACCTGAGCAGTGTACGCTGCACCCAATGCGTAGTCTTTGATCCCTCACCCCCGCTTCCATCCTTACTCCGAGTACCTAGAGTCCATTGTATCATTCTAATGCCTTTGTGTCCTCATAGCTTAGCTCGCACTTGTGAGAACATATGACATTTGGCTTTCCATTTCTGAGTTTCTGCACTTGGAATAATGGTCTCCAACTCCATCCAGGTTGCTGCAAGTGCCATTATTTCATTCATTTTTATGTCTGAGTAGTATTCCATGGTATATATACACCACATTTTCGTTTTCCACTTGTTGGTTGATGGACATTCAAGCTGGTTAAATATTTTTGCAATTGCAAATTGTGCAGCACATCTATCTATAAACATAGATGTGCTTGTGTCTGTTTTATATCATAACTTCTTTTTCTGTGGATATATACCCAGTAGTGGGATTGCTGGATCAAATGGTAGTTTTACTTTTAGTTCTTTAAGGAATCTCCATACTGTTTTCTGTAGTGGTTGTATTAGTGATTGCCCCACCAGCATTGTAAAAGTGTTACTTTTTAACCACATCCACACCAACATCTGATATTTTTTGTTTTCTTAATTACATTATGGCCATTCTTGCAGGAGTAAGGTAGTATCGCATGGTGGTTTTGATTTGCATTTTCCTGATAATGAGTGATGTTGAGCATTTTTTCATATATTTGTTGATCATTTGTATCTCTTCTTTTCAGCATTGTCTATTCATGTCCTTAGCCCACTTTTTGATGGGATTGCTTGCATTTTTCTGACTGATTTGTTTTAGTTCCTTTATAGACTCTGGATGGTAGTCCTTTGTCAGATGCGTAGTTTGCAAATATTTTCTCCCACTCTGTGGACTGTCTTTTACTCTGCTGATTACTTCTTTTGCTGTGCAGAGGTTTTTAG